TTTATTTCTTTTATAAAATAACAATAATGCGAAAAAGACAAATATTTTAATTTTTCCTCCAAAAATGTATTCATGATCGATTTACAAATTCTCATTCACTAACTGATTGTTATGATTGATTTGATTGGTTGAGCTCAGATGTGCTAATGGAAACATAGCTCTAGACTAATCGGCACACGCGTTTCATTGTGTTTATTTTATAAATGTATATAGATGTATGTTGTAAAATATAAGTTTCTCCGGATTTTAAAAAATAATTTTTATTGAGCTTTCGACTCGGTGCTTCTAGCCTTCTTCAGAATCAAAACTTTTATTTTACAACATTAATGCCTAGATTATTAATTTTCAAGATTATAAATGTATGTGTATATGATTTGTAATGTATAATTCTAGTAATGTACATGGCAAGCTTCTTAATTTGATAACTGCTTGTTCCTGAACAAGATCAGAGAACACAGTTCGTTGTCAAATATTTTAGATACCTTACTTGTATTAAAATTCGCGCAGTACTAAATAAACAACTCAATTTTTCAACAAAACTCAATTTTTTTAACATAACTCAATTTTTTAACATAACTCAATTTTTTTAACATGCCTTCAACACGCTGGGTCGCGCAAGATTGCAGTAATAAGTCTGATAGAAGTACAGGCATTTCATTACATAAAAGCCCAAACGACGAGTCTTTGAGAAGAATTTGGGTTAAATTTGTTCAGACGAAGCGCGCAAACTTTAATCCGAGTTCGCGCGAAATACGATTTATGATATGTTCGAATCACTTCTCGGATGATTGTTTTGAGTGTTTATTCCATTTGGGTGGTATGACTAGACGGCTCAAACCTGGTGCCGTACCTACTATTTGGAAGAAATCACAAACACCAACAACGTCAAGAGAGCGGCGTCAGGTTAGCACAAGTTGCGAATTATTATATACTTACACATATTGCAGATGATAAATTTTCACAATTTGAGAGAACCAATAATACATCCAGGCAAACCAATATATAATATACATTTATACTAAGGTTTTGAAGGAAATACAAAATGAAGTGTCTGTATCATGCGATGACCTTTGGTCTTTAAACCAACGAAGCTGCTTGAAGAACAAATCGTTCAGGCAAACTTCAAAGCTTGTAAGTGATCCAAAATGCATTTCCTTTCATCGATTTCGAACTGATACATTTTACCACGGCATTGTCTCTATTTCCATGCAGCATCGGCACTCTTGAGGGTTGACAACAAGATCCAGAACGAACAATGGCCACATTCACACCTTTTAATATTGGCCAAATTGTATGTTTCCATAATTCAGCTAACGGCAGACGATTCAGATCAAAGTAACACAAAGATGACATCTTACCATGAAGTAACATCAACATGGGCATCAAAACGATCTTGCAGCATGTCTTCAACCCGCCGTCTTCTGCGACTGTAGCTTCGTACTCAGCAATTTCATCGAGCGAAGCAATTGTTCAATATTATCGACAAATGGCAAAATTTCCGAATTAGATCGTTCGAATTTGCCGTCACAAATTCCGATGAAGCATCGATGCGTTTGTCTCGATCGAAGACTCAGAGAGCGAGCTAGATCTCGAAATTTGACATTTTTGCTCTATTTATGTATTACTTTGTATACTTTCCAATGTGCGCATTGCCGTAAGCAGACTATGACGTCACAGACTTTGCTGATTGCAAATATTCAAAATGGCCGATTTTAATGGCGGACATGAAAATTAGACATTTCAAATGTTCATAACTCCCTCGTTATATTATTATTTTTGCTTACATTTTACGAAAGCAATAATTGATATGTGTTTAAACTATTGAATGCTAAAATCGATGATTTTTTAACGTTAAGTTTTCGTCATAGAACCACTTTAAAGCTGCGCGAATAATTGTCAACAAAGTGCGCGAAATTAAATCGCGCGAATTTAAAGCTGAGCGAAAATGAGTACGACTTGAATTTCAATACAAGTAAGGTATGCTGTAATCATGCTGTTACACAACAGTTAAAATGGTTGGGTGTTTCATAGGTCTTTGTTTCAAATGGAATCGTTTAAGATAGAGTTGCTCTAAAATGTATTACTCCATGAAAATTTTACGAAGAAGCTTTCTTATTAAGTTTTGCTAAACTCTTCAAATCATTTAAGTACAATTCATTATTCAAACTTTATCCAAATCATAAAAGTAAAATACTTACACCGCGGACACCGGGGATACCTGTTACTCTACATAACGGAGGAAATTATATACGCTGATTTCAGTTAGCAAGCAAATTTTTTATTCATTATATGTATAACATTTAAGTACATATAAATGAAATATTGATAAGAAGAAGAATATACACAAAAACTACAATTTCATCTTGACAAGCCTGTTTCGTGATTTTTCACTCTTCAGGGGATAATAATAAATGAATACAAAAGCATGTGTTTAACTATATATACAAGAGGAAGTTAGGGTAAAAATTAAGGTAGAATTACACAATGAGCTAGATGTACGATTAAAAATTGGATAAAATCGTCTTGTGTCTATGGCGACAAGAGGAGACAAGTTCGTTACGTTTGTTGAGTGAAGATAGTTGTGGTTGGTAGGTGATGAAGAAATTTCTTTCAGGCATAGGTTGCATCTTTTGTTGGCGCTGTTGTACGATTTGTTGTGAGTAATGATGTTCCATGAGATATCGTGAGCGATGTTGTTGTTAGTGTCCATATGTGTTAGTGAGATCGGTAGAGGCAGTGTAGTTCCTGTGTCGAGTCTTAAATTAACTTTTTGTAATTCCGATGTAGGTCAACATTGTTTGATAATTCCGTGGAGGTTGGTTGCAATCCAAGATTGCGAGTTCTATCTGCGTACGTTTCCGAGGTGCTCTGAGCCGTGTTTAAAGCTCCGGCTTGATCAAAGCTGTCTGAAAATGTTGTGTTTTATTCTCTAGAAGGCGTTGGCAAATATTAGTTGAAAATATCCCTGCTATAAATCGCATCTCGCACATCTTCGTAACGATATTGATTTAACGCACCATCACAAAAATTATAATCTTTGCAAAAACGCGTCTAAACTCTCGCCTCGAGTAGCCAACTTATATATTTCGCCCAAATATTTCATTATAGGAGTATTATAATAAAGATTTTTCAACAGTTTGATAACTTCTTCATAAGTCATCGTCTCACAGAAGAGCTGATATAAACGTCTGCTGAAACATAATTGATTAAAACGTTTAATTTGTTCACTTTTTCGTCGAGTATTGCAGCCATGGACAAAGTTCTGAAAAGTTGGAAACCATTGCTGCCACAACCTGGCAGTGACTACTCAGAAGAGGATCTTAAGCGGAGTTTTGTTTACATTGATGCAAAATTTTTAGAAAACATTATTCATTTCCTTTTTTCTAAACCTACAGAGATTCTATTAAAGTCTGTATGGGGTATCTTTAATTACAGTGTCACAGTATAAAGAACCTACAGTAGGGCCACTCCATTAAATATTTTCGTGCCACGCATATCTTATTACGCATGTAATTACATTGGGTTACCAATAGGATTGACGATATGGCAAACGGCAGCCAGTAAATTAATCAAATATACAACAGCCAGTTGCACAGCTAAGTGGCTGTTGTATAATGTTAACGCACTGTATACTTCTTATACTTTGACAGTGCGTTAACATTTACATATATATAAAATACTGAATTATAATTGTCCATGTTGTTAACCACATTAATTAATGCCGTGAATATTATTATTACTGTCCAGAATCAATGGGCTTGTAGTAAGAAACATAACCTTTCAAGTTTTGCCTGAGTCATTTATATGACTTGAGCCTTTACCTCACAATTGCAATGGCCAAAACTCTACTTAATTAACTATCACAAACAGCCATTTACAAATTTCACCAGTAAAGTTTTAAGGCTTCTTCCTTATTTGTACTTTGAACGATTGGTTTGATTTTTTGAGAAAAAAGTGATCATACAAATATCAAGGTGTCATTTCGTTTAAATAATGGTGTCATATTCGAACGGAGAAAAAGAGCGACCACACCCTTCATTCAATTATATAATCCTGTCACTAAACTATAGGCTAGTGGCATTAAACTATAAAACGCAAAAACTCCCATTCCACTAGTTCATAAATGCTGTATTAGTGCACTGCTTCTGAGTCTCACACTCTGAGATTATGAATTCAAGTTCACTAACTAACAAATATACAAAACAGCAAACTATAGAAAGAGTAGTGCTCTTAATGACTGCTTATGTATGTAGTCATACTTTTTTTATGTAAAGTCTTACCTTATTTATGGTAATAATGCGTAGCTATTATTGTTTGTCCAACATGTCACTCGAGCAATTCTTTCCATCCAATTAAAGAATTACCCTATACTATGCCCTAACACAGGATTCAACAACGTCCATTCAAGTTCGGAGTGTACATTGTTTTAGTGATACTGATACATGTATACTGCAGCTTACAGATTTGTCATTTTTTAAAACTGGTTGGTTTTTGAAGTTTCTTCAACTATATACGTAAAATAATGAAGCAACCCGAAAGAAAATGGGATTCTACAAAAAAAGTCCAAGTCTATTTGGCAATTTAGTAGTTTATTCTTAAATTAGTGTTTCTTTATAGAACTGAGAAAAGAAAAAATATAGGATGCAATACTGATGTAAACTCGCGATGGAATTCAATTGGCTGAAATGCCAAGTCTGACAAACTCAATATCAGTTTTCGACTAAGGCTCAGATGGTTGAACTGAGTACTAAGCTTATTGCGAATACCTTGAAATGACATCCAAATTGGGTCAACGTATATTGTATAAACGTCATAGTAAAGAAACAACACTTTGTAAGTGGATGACAGCAAATACCAAACCATATCAACTATTCCTATTTTCTCTCTAAGGAAGTCCCTTTTTTGGTAGTTTAGCGACTATAGATTGCAATATATGTATATGATTGTAAAATATAAGTTGAATACTGGATGTACAATACAGTAGAAAAACGAAAGAAAACTAGAACGGGAATCATTTAATACTGATTTACAAGAAGAGAACATACAAAAGGAATTATTCTTGTGGTGGAGGAACCTCTTTAATAACAATACGAGAAACTGAATTCCATCCACTGTATGCATTTGCGTTACCAAAACCAGCACAATTGCCGACCCGGAATCCAACTTGCAGTTTTCCTTTATGAATTTTGTTACAATATCCTTCAATGTGACGATGTCGATGGATATTTTGTGACTTTCCATTGGCCATGTAAAGAACTCCATCAATAGGAAGAGGGTTTTTACATTCAACTCCATTGAAAGTAAAATACCAACGTTTGCAACAACCATTGCACCCTGAAATTCGCAAGTTTCCTCCATAAAACACTTGAAGGGAAGTGTTGTCAAACTTTTTTGTAAATACACAATTCTAAAATGAAATTAAATCATTGCTAAAACAATATGTAATAATTCATAACAAAAGAAATATTTCATATACATGTTGCACCTGAATTAATCCATGATCTTTCTCATCATTTCTTTTCCAAGCACATTGTTTCCAGCTTGAAAAACTCATGGTATTTTTCAATGGTGGACCAGGATTACCTCGTTCACCTTTTTCTCCTTTAGATCCTACGTCTCCTTTTAAACCGTCTCGTCCGGCTGCTCCAGGTACACCGGGAACTCCTGGAACCCCGGGAATTCCACAGCTTGCTGAACATTGAGCCTTGAAAACGGTAGAGACAAATATTTTTACCTAAACAGTGAAGGCTCTATAAATATTGAATTGTGGCTCAAATTCAATATGGTTGAAGGAATAATAACAGCTTCTTTCTATTGCGTTGAAGTCTCTCCGATCCTAATGTATTTCTCAACGGATAATATGATCTTGTTTTTGTAAATTTCTTTGAGATGTTTCGAGTTGAACAACGCCCTTTTCCACCTTAATTCACATGAATCTATTTGCTGGGTGCTTATACAAAAGAGTTTGCAAATTGTAATTTCAATACTCATGAAGTATAAATAAACTACACGAATAAAGTTTCTCGCAACCTTAAAAAAGACTATTGCGTTAAAATATGCACTTGATTCTTGAACCGAAATTTTAACTTAAACCATTTCACAAAGTTAATGCTTCGAAACCTTTGAGTTTTTTTTCTTAAACGATGCACTGACTGTATTTGATAGCAACAACAAGGATACCATTAAAAGATTCATCTTCACTTTTATCATTTTCCCACCTCAGTTTACTTCTTTAAGTGCTCATCAATTAATTGTTTTGCTTGTAATGAAGAGCTAACTTCAGTCCTCTTTTTTAAGTATTTGCAATAAAACGGCTTCATTTCCGTTTCAGCAACATTGTTTTTTGATAATGGAGAAATGAGTAGAGTAGCCACGTAGTCTCTAAGCAAATTCATCATTATGATGGTAATCTACAATTGTTTGCTTAAAATTTGCAGTTGAATATGAATAGATCATGAATACTTAGCATAAAATGAGTATAAAATCCTCTTTTTTTGATGTTTACTAAACCAAAAATTTCTTACAATCATACTGACTCACATCTACTACGGTTAACGAGTGCATGAAAACAAGAGAAATAGATATTGTAAAATTATTTTAATTTGTTTTACTTTAATTGCATCGCTGATTACTTTGAAAAGAAGTTCCATGCAAGTTATAGCGTCATTTTAATGATTCGGATAAATATCTTGCATTTTTACTATTTTCTGTAGCACCACCATTCTCAAATTAAAAGCCCCAACAGGTTGCTAAGTATTAGCTCATAACAAGAAGTATAAAGCAATTTAGCTAGACATATGTTTGACCATGAAAGTTGTTAAATGCACGATCTTTAATCAAAAACTTTATTTTTTATGTAAATGACACTCTCCTTATAAGTATTTTTAGCCACTTGATCCCTTAATCCCATGCTTAATCCAGGTCTTGGAAACAATAACATTGCTCAGTGAATGCGCGTTGTTGCACAATTTTCTCATAATACTATCCCTAACCCTGACAATATGTTTATTATTCTAATGCTTTCGTTGTGAGGACACAAAAAATTTAATTAATTTTCGGATAAAGAATTCATGATCATTATTCACACAACGAAACAAACTACACCATACCGAGACGAGATTCGAACCTGCAAAAGACGAATAGAAAAATGCTCTTGGTCCTTTCGACAAAACGTCTATGTTAGCTACGGGTATTTCTCCCGCAAGTGAAATATAAGTATTTTTAGCCACTTGATCCCTTAATCCCATGCTTAATCCAGGTCTTGGAAACAATAACATTGCTCAGTGAATGCGCGTTGTTGCACAATTTTCTCATAATACTATCCCTAACCCTGACAATATGTTTATTTTTCTAATGCTTTCGTTGTGAGGACACAAAAAATTTAATTAATTTTCGGATAAAGAATTCATGATCATTATTCACATAACGAAACAAACTACACCATACCGAGACGAGATTCGAACCTGCAAAAGACGAATAGAAAAATGCTCTTGGTCCTTTCGACAAAACGGACTTCGTTCCTCACGCGGCAAATTGTTTTTACTTTGAACTAGGGGCATTTAAAATTTGATTAATTTTTTCCGCTGCTGTGAAGAATTTAACTACGTCGCGTGCTGAATGTGACGTACTTTCAATCCGCCCCTGATTATATATGTAACATTTAAGTACATATAAATGAAATATTGATAAGAAGAAAATACACAAAAACTACAATTTCATCCCGACAACCTTGTTTCGTGAGTTTTCACTCTTCAGGGGATAATAATAAATGAATACAAAAGCATGTGTTTAACTATATATACAAGAGGAATTTAGGGTAAAAATTAAGGTAGAATTACGTAATAAGCTAGGTGTATGATTAAAAATTGGATAAAAGTGTCTATCACGACAAGAGGAGACAAGTTCGTTACGTTTGTTGAGTTATGATAGTTGTGGTTGGTAGGTGATGAAGAATTTTTCTTTCAGGCATAGGTTGCATCTTATGTTGGCGCTGCTGTACGCTTTGTTGTGAGTAATGATGCTCCATGAGATATCATGAGCGATGTTGATGCCTTTTAGTGTCCATATGTGTTACTGAGTTCGGTAGAGGCAGTGTGGTTCTTGTGTCGAGTCTTAAATTCGTTTTAAGTCCGATGTAGGTCTCAGTTGTGTTAGTGTCTCCATAATTTCGTAAAAGCACTATTGCCAATACACATTTAATATAAAAGACAACTTTTTTGAAAATAGACATGTTTCGACATCGAAGGTGGCATCATGAGATGTCGAAACATGTCTATTTTCAAAAAAGTTGTCGTTTATATTAAATGTGTGTTAGTGTCCTAACATTTAACAGTTGTTTGGTAGATGACAGATGATTGTAGGCAGTTGAACTGGCCTGTCGGGATGAAATTGTAGTTTTTGTCTATTTTCTTCTTATTATCAATATTTATGCTCTGTTCTAACGCATCGAGCACTGTAATTACGGAAAATCAAATAAACAAAACTTCCTATAAATGAAATATATATGCATAAAGTACATAAATGTATATAAATGAATATAGACGTAATCATTTGTGATGATTTATCATTGCTGGTTAATTTGTTGGTCTTTGAAATCCCTTGTTTACTTCGGATTATAGCATGAATATATGAACATGACTCCAACCCCATTTGTCAATCTTCCACAATCCCTATGCATGGAACAAACTAGGGAGATGAATGCAAAATTGTTTAGAAGCATTTTGTTTCATTGATTGAACAGTTTAAGTCCTTGAGAGCACCTTTAGTCGTTGTGATTAAGGGACGGATCTAGAATTTTTTCGTTTTAAATCCAATGTAAGTGCATATAATTTACAACAGGCTTACCTATTACTGACACCTACTTTTCTAAATGTAGACTAAAGTGAAATTCACTAATAGTCGTCGAATCAGTGTTTAGGGGAAATAGTCAGTACGATCTAATAATCATACATTACCCAGATGATATGTGTTCCTTGTTCTTCGTTGACATGTTGACCCAGTGGCGGGTCTAAACTACGTCAAAATAAATTACTGCAGCACATTTTGGCGTGTATTTACATTTCTAAACACCTTAGAGGGTAATATATTGGTAAAATTATATTCTTTATAAGTTAAAAACCAATAGTGCTTTTCTGAAAGCAATTTGAATTTAAAATTGAGAAGCTATGATTTATTTTGACGTACACTGCAAACTGCAAAGCAATAAGGCATAAGAAACAAAAGGGGTCCAAATGCTGTGTGAAAAAACTTAGATCAAAATGTATGATCTTCATTTAGTTTGAGTTTACCAATGAAGCTATTGACAACTTTCCCAAAAGATTAATCAAGCAATTTTTTGAGTACGTCTGAAATTGCTTACTTTCTTGTAAACTGACAAATTCGTAATAGTCCACAATACGTTATGCCTACCTAAAGTAATTTATTATCATTCTCGTCATATTTCTTCCAAGCACATTGCTTCCATTTTGTAAAATATGTTTATGTTTGCATCATATAATTATACTCCCCCCCTTAAACCAGAAGTTCTTGGTTCCACGGCGTCTCTTATTTTGCTGAGCTTGCGTCTCTCTTTACTCCATGTATCAAAAAGAAAAAGATTCTGAAATTGCAATAATTTTTATTTGGCCTAATTTTTACTCGCAACAACGATCCGAGTGAAACAGTTCCTTAAAATAAATATTTATTCATGTAGGTCATTGTAAGAATAATTCATCTTCTATATGATTGAATTTAAAATTTTAATCAACTTATTTTCGTTTTATCTGGCATTAATAGTATTATTCATTGAGGAGTAAATAATAGACTTACTCAAATCGTTAAAATTAGAAAACTGAATTATTGTCATAAAATACACATGAATTTTTCACTAAACGGAAGCTTTAACATAAAATAGAGTTAAATGGAAAAGTGAATAAAGGAATTATTCTTGTGGAGGAGGAACCTCTTTAATAACAATACGAGAAACTGAATTCCATCCACTCTCTGCATCTGCATTACCATAACCAGCACAATTGCCGACCCAGAATCCAACTTGCACTTTTCCTTTATGAATTTTGTTACAATATCCTTCAATGTGACAATATTGAAGGATATTTTGTGACTTTCCATTGGCCATGTAAAGAACTCCATCAATAGGAAAAGGGTTGTTACATTCAACTCCATCGAAAGTAAAATACCAACGTTTGCAACAACCATTGCACCTATAAATTCGCAATGTTCCTCCATAAAACACTTGAAGGGAAGTGTTGTCAAACCTTTTTGTGAATACACAATTCTAAAATGAAATTAAATCATTTCTAAAACGATATGTAATAATTCATAACAAAAGAAATATTTCATATACTTATTGCACCTGAATTAATCCATGATCTTTAGCATCGTTTCTTTTCCAAGCACATTGTTTCCAACTTGAAAGGCTCGTGTCATTTTTCAACGAAGGACCAGGATTACCTCGTTCACCTTTTTCTCCTTTAGATCCTACGTCTCCTTTCAAACCGTCTCCTCCGGCTGCTCCAGGTACACCGGGAACTCCTGGAACCCCAGGAATTCCACAGCTTGCTGAACATTGAGCTTGAAAACGGTAGAGAAAAATGTTTTTGCCTAAACAGTGAAGACTCTATAAATATAGAATTGTGGCTCAAATTGAACATGGTTGAAGGGATAATAACAGCCTCTTTCTATTGCATTGAAGTCTCTCCGATCCTAATGTATTTCTCAACGGATACTATGATCTTGTTTTTGTAAATTTCTTTGAGATGTTCCGAGTTGAACAACGCCCTTTTCCACCTTAATTCATAGGAATCTATTTGCTGGGTGCTTATACAAAAGAGTTTGCAAATTATAATTTTAATTCTCAAGAAGTATAAATAAACTACACGAATAAAGTTTCTCGCGACCTTAAAAAAAAAAGACTATTGCGTTAAATTATGCACTTGATTCTTGAATCGCAATTTTAACTTAAACCATTTCACAAAGTTAATGCTTCCAAACCTTTGAGTTTTTTTTTCTTAAACGATGCACTGACTGTATTTGATAGCAACAACATGGATACCATTAAAAGATTCATCTTCACTTTTATCATTTTCCCACCTCTGTTTACTTCTTTAAGTGCTCATCAATAATTGTTTTGCTTGTAATGAAGAGCTAACTTTAGTCGTCTGTTTTAAGTATTTGCCATAAAACGGCTTCATTTCCGTTTTAGCAAACATTGTTTTTTGATAATGGAGAAATGAGTAGAGTAGCCACGTAATCTCTAAGCAAATTCATGATTATGATGGTAATGTACAATTGTTTTCTTAAAATTTGCAGTTGAATATGAATAGATTATGAATATTTAAGAAACCACAAGTATCACTCCGAGCCTCTTTTTTGGATGTTTATTAAACCAAAAATTTCTTCTAATCATACTGACTCACATCTACAACGGTTAACGAGTTTATAAAACTAGAGAAATAGAAATTTTAAAACTATTTTAATTTGTTTTGCTTTAATTGCATCAGTGATTACTTTGAAAAGAAGTTCCATGCAAATTATAGCGTCATTTTTATGATTAGGATAAATATCTTTCATTTTTTACAATTTTCTGTAGTACCAGCGATTCTCAAAACAAAAGCCCCAACAGGTTGCTGAGTATTGGCTCTTAACAAGAAGTATAAAGCATTATAGCTAGACATATGTTTCACCATGAAAGTTGTTAAATGCACGATCTTCAATCAAAAACTTTATTTTTGATGTAAATGACATTCTCCTTTATATGATCTACATTATGGAGTCCAAATATGAGGTGCATTACAGAATAACAATTAGCACCACTCAACCAAATATAATCCAGTTCTTCTAACACAGAATTAATAGAACAACACCACAGTGAATTTTTATCATTGCTACTGCACGTTCTTAACCCATTGACTGTAAGTTTATTTTTAATTTATAATCCGTGTGAGTTACATGCACGCGTGACACTTAAAAAAGACATTGTGATTGGTTTAGGACATCGTGCAGATCACTCGTGTTTTTTGCTAATTCGCGAAATGATTGGTTTAGGTTTCGGTGGAACTATAATGTGTTGAACTGTCATTAATAGGGTTAGCACTATTTTCCACCCAGCAAACCGCCCTTTACTTTACACAATCGGAAATAAATTAAAGATGGCGGCTAATGGGAAAGAACCAAAACCTAAAAGGAAACCATGCATGCACTGGTGCTAGGTCGTTTTGAGATGGCGAGTAATTTTATATTTTTATAATACAGTTTTTAATATCAATATATGAAAATATTTACAGATAAATGTTGCAGTATAAATTTTCATGCAACCACCTTAAGTTATAAACTTATAATCCAGGCTGGAAAATATGTCGTTTTTCGACGATTGTGTAAAATATTATATAAAATATTATATTGTGTAAAATATTAGATTGTGTAAAATATTATATTGTGTAAAATAATATATTTCAGAGTAAAGGGCGGTTTGCTGGGTGGAAAATAGTGCTAACCCATTAATAGAGTTCACTCATTAAAGTCTAGAGAAGTAAGTACGCAGCATAATATTTCAGTCTCTTCACTTTATGTTGGTCTGACGTGATAGTTGTATTATTTGTAATGCTACTGATTTATAAGCCAATAGAGCTTTTAGGTTTGGAATTGTTTAGGAAGTTGAACGGTATATTGTAGAAGTTCATTTAACAGGGAGGAATGATTAATTTTAAATCCTGCTAGAAGCAACTGCCATTAAATGAAAATTTTGCATATTCGACTGATAAGTAATTGATCATTTTTTAACTATCTTAAGTTCTTTGTTATTTATTAGTTCAAATTTTTTTTCATTGTTTATAAGCTATTGTGCAAGCGTAACTGCTTCAATTGATGGTCTATAAAACTTTCGATATCTCTATGATGCCAAGTTGACAATGACAACTGCCAAAACAGTAAAAACAGCCTTGATAAAAATTTGATAAAACATGTTTTGTATGGCATTGATTCGTGATTGATGGTGAACAGCGCGGATTCTTTATAAGTATGCAAGCATAAACGTCTATATATGAATTTAGTTGACATTCTTGTGCGCATTATGTACACATCACCGACTCGTCTTCGTTTACATTACTGTAAAGATGCCATGATCTAATATACAACCTTCACAGTGTTATCTTTTGGGTTTTTATCTTGTGCTATCAAGAACACTTTGTCCCTATAATCATGCACGTACTATGAGACAAAATTTCTTTGTAGTTTAAATGATATGATTAATACTGTTACAATGGAGCATTGACAAGATTTTGAATTATTTCGATTAGGCAGAAATATTTTCCTTATTTAGCTAAGTTTGGCGTCATTCAATATAGAAAGTATAGGTTTTACTTATCTTCATACAATAAAACAAACTTCACTTCCCTTTCAGCGAAAATATTGTAATCCCAGGTGTACTTCAAATTGAAGTAAAGTTATGCCACGTAATAATAAATCTTTGTTCTTACATCTAATAACGTGTCTTCTGATATAAATAGTCAAAATAAATAAGTGTCTACTTTGCATAACAGGAGTGAATATTATCGCACTGTCCAATCTTTCTTTAGAAGATTCTCTTTATTGTTATGCTAATACAAAAAATTGCTAAATTGATTTTCCATGTTGTCCACCACTGCAATGACGGCGTCAACATTAATATTACTCCCTAAAAGTAGAAATTGTTTGTAGTAAGAAACATGATTTTTTTTTAGTTGTACTTGAGTCATTTGTATGACTTGTATCTCTACCACTTGTATGACTTGTACTTTGCTAATTCTTCTATTTTAACCAACACAACAACACCATTTCCGCAATACAATATTATTAAACTTTAGTGGCTATAATTTTCTTTTAAAGCTACTACCAAGAATACCTGTAGTACACTGATAAAGGTTTGGAAGACGAGTATCGAGACTGATGCCACAAATGTCAAGAAATTGATCAAATTTTCCAACGACAAATTAATATCAATTACTAAAATTTGAATAAAGTTTGTGTGCAAAAGAAATAGCAATGATATTCAAACAGAAAATATCAAACAAGGAAAAAATACCAATACTGAGCGTGGCAAGGATGATTTCGCTACATATATGAATACGGAACATAAACTCTCAATGATTGAAATGAAATTCGCATTTTTTAGTTTTGCTATTTTACGTTTGTGAGCAAGAAGTCAGTACGTGGGATTGAATTTACCACGGGCGGAGAGGGAGGCTGAGCCTGCAGGCAGTTTTACAAACAATGAATAATTGATTACATAGGGATTACATAGGAGATGTGGGACAAGTGGGACTATCTCTTAAAAGTTCATTCAACTTTGATTTTGCGTTTGAATTTCGTATCAGAGTAATTATGTAGACGCATTTACATGAATTTTTGAAAATTTTTGGCCAGAAGAATCCTCACAAAGGTAAGAAATAGGAATAAGCCATTTTATTTCAGATATATTTGTAAAACTTGTAGTTTATTATAACATTTCATCAACAGTTTCAAACTATTCATTGCATGTGTGAGATTCAATTAGTGGCAAGCACAATTGTACCGAATCAATTAAATCTTCCAGTTCATTTTACCTTAAATTAAAGTATTTATCATTCACACATTACTATATTTTGAAGCACTCATTTTAATTGCACAATTTGCATTGATACCATAACAATGATTTTGTTGCATGTCATATAATATTGATAATAATTTTATCTGCATCTAAAATGTGTTGACAAGGTTATGGCAAAGTCAACATTAAGGCAACTTGCATGAAAAAATTGACCACATTGATCACAACCCAGCCAGTCTTCATTGTCATCCTCTCTGCATATTTTGCAAACAGCCACAATTTGCTCCCTAAAGATATTCATAATGAATTCCATATAAAATATTCAACTAAATGTTATTTATGCCTTATTGTGTAATATCATCATAGCAAGACCCAAGTAATGTTGACAGGATTTGTTTTCTCTCAGTCTCTATGTTTGCTGGGTTTTGATAGTCCAAGCCAAGGGCTAGAAATCAATCAAACTGATGCGAAATGAGCCGTTACTGAATAATCATGTTTGTAATATAGCTATTCAAGTAAAGTTAGGCTATTTCAAGCTTACCAAGCATATGTACACTCCACAGTTATACATATCTTCCTGTTTACAATGGAGTGGTTCAAAACATTGCCATGAGCTTGAGTTCCAACCTGTTTTTACATCTACCAAAGCACTAAAACAGTGACAAACATGACCACTTTGTTTGTTTATATGATACATCATCTGTTTATCAGGTCTCTTTTTGTCTGCACTTCCTCCAAGTTGGTCAAGTAGAGTCTGTTTTTGAGAACTTATCTATAGCCTATATTACACAAAATTACTGTTGCATTTAGTTAAAAATTTTCTCTTTGTTAATTAAGGAATTAAATTAGTTAATGTTTCTATAGATAGTAATTTTGCATGTAAATATGTGGACTGCTGGGCTAAGTATGCATATAATGCATGTCTATATTTTATTATTGCCTTCATTGATTAGCTCAAATACTTACCAGTAGTGTCCAGTGAATGTCATGGATGTTGATTGGAAAAAGGATAATTTTGGTTTGGTGAAAAGATCTATTAGCCCATGTGCGTCTTGTGCTTGAGTTGTTTTTAACAAAGTCCGAAATAAATGATTCTGCTGCAAGAACAGTAGTGTAGTTTTCAGTCAAACTCCACAAAAAAGCGTCAATTACCTAAAATCAAAAGAAAGCATAGTTTTAAGAGATTTCCTCGCCAGTTTTACGTGTACATAGCACTCATGGTTATAAACAATAACTTATAATGATAAATAAGAAGACTATATTAGACGCTTTTTTCTCTTACATAGTCAGTCAGCCAACCAGGTTTGAATGTGGTAACTTCTTTTTTAATAATTTTAATTCTTTTCAGTTATATCTTTGGACTGACAAGTGACCAAAGATCTACTTTTGATACATTCACAGGACCAAATTCCTGCACAGTATCCCCAAGACACTGTCTTTCTATAAAGACATTTATTCGTTGCCTTGGAGTCAGAAACAATGAATTGTATGTCAACTGTTTGCAAGTATCATTGTTGGTGCTATATTATTTAAAACATAGTGCATCAAGATACATTCACAATTTCAGTTCGTTTTGCAATGAATCACTGACCTTTCTTGATGTTCCAAGTTGTTGATTGGCGGTACTTCAGTGCTTTCTTGTGATTCCTGGATTTCCTCTGTTTCACTCTCATACAACAATTCTTGCTCAACTGGCTCTTCAAGTGCATTCTGGAACGTAAATTGTGAGTAAAAATTATAATTTGTAAAAAGAGCTCGTCAGTCGAGGTTGCGAAAATGAAAATTATCTCACCTTGTTTGATGATACCGCGCGCTCTTAACTTATGTCTGGGATCATTGTTGTGATATAGTTATTAGCATGCTTTTTTTTTGGAACGAAGAGGCAATTTTTTATGAAATACTTGATGATACTCCACACTTGTTACTTTCGAACGCTTTTTTGTTGGACTATTTCCAATTGGGAAACCTTCACTGACTGGGCAATTTCGATTTAAGATTTCGTGCAGTTTATTTGCGTAGTCAAGCGCTTCTTTCAAAGGTTTTAGTTCGTTGACGGTGAATGCCTGATTTCGAACAAGGCTCAACTTGGAAACAAAGGGTTGAGTAACTTTCTTACTGACAAGGTCGTGAATTTTACTTATTACTCTATTACTATAGGTAGTTTTCATGTAGCACTTTGATGAGGTTGTCATATTGTTTTGGTCTTAGAAATGTCTGCTCATAGTTTATCTAAAACGGTTTTTTTCGCTTTTTTCAAGCTGTTCGCTGTTGGATAAAGAGTCTTGTCAAGATAGTAGTCCGTAAAAACTTTTATTTCACGAATTTGGATTGTTGCTGGGGAGCCAAATTTTTGACTGTTCTGCAATTTTTGATATGTTTTGGTGGCGTAATTGTGCTCAGGAGATTTTTTTTGTTTATTTGCCCCTCCTCGCGAGTCCTAAAAATGGTCATTTTGCTTAGCCTGTTGATTTAAAATGTGATAACTGTTTAATATATCTCGTTGTAATACAGCGTTTGAAATCTGACCTTTCTGATCCATGTATGCATTGCCTAGTTTATGTGTTTATTTGTAAATGGATTTGAAAATCGCAATTGGTACATTGCCTTTATTATTTTCGAAAACGGGTGGAGCTATAAAAACACGTAGAGATGATGCTTAGGTCCGTTAGTACTTTTGTAATAATTAGCGTAAATTAAAATTTGTAAAGTAAACTCAATGAACACTTTTTCAGTTACATATTGTATTTTGCAGTGCCGTACTTTTTGATGCTATGCACTGTTTCCTTACCATTTATTGAAAAGCGTTTGTGGTCTTTGCGTTTGTTGTGCGTTTGTGAACAAACAAATGACGTCGACGATAACACAGCTTAAGATTCTAAAATCCTCTCCAAACTTTCAGCACCTCCTTCATATTTTCCAGCAAATAATGCTCTGGTTGTCCAACACTATTGAAATATGTCCTGATGAATTCAATTTCCTTGTTTCGCATATCTGTCGCAGTTATGTCAAGTATTGAGTTCGTATCACTCGACATTATTCCGTTTTTAATAGTAAGTTAAACAGGCGAGGACCCTTAATGATCGAATAAATTGGAAATTCAGGGCTCTGACATACGTATACTATGTACATAACAATCCCTCTTCAATTTTCGGCCTGGTTTTCAAACCTTACTTGACATCAAATGTAAAATCTGCCAATTTGCTATTTTTAAGTTGTCGTCATTACACTAACACCCATAATTTTCAAACTGTAGTTGTCTCTTGAAGAAAACCTACAAGTTTAGCTTCCTTCTTGAGCGTTCACGAGCCACATTTTTAAATAAATGAACAGGCTCTTTAGTTTGACACGATGCAGTCAAAAGAAAACCCGGTTTAAAAATATAACTAAAAGCATGCAGTTTCATTGGTAGTTTAATTTTCATGCCTGGAATGACATACATACATACATACATATATTTCCACATTTAAAAAAAGAGAAAAAAACCTTTTTCCTCGATTTGGATGTCGAAATTCGAGATACCTGTTGTACAGTAGGTATTGTGTAGTTTAGCGTTGATTCCGTTTAATACTTTTTCGATGTTACTGCCAAGTGAGAGTGAATATTGCAACCACGATGTGTTTTTTTTGTGATTTATATTTTTACACTTATGATTCGAGGCATTTATGTTCTAGTTAACTACGTGCAGTTATGCCACACGGATAACGTACATAAAACTGTACTTAAACTTAAGTGCATTTGCGTAACTAGTAATGTCAAGTGCGTCGTTTTAATTACGCGTATGTTTAAAACTAGGATTGGCTATTTCCTCTGATTTTTGTGGATAATTCTAGACAAAATATTGTGCACTCTTTATGTACGTCAGTATACAATAGTATGTACGTGTATAACCCGACTAAGTGTAAATGACATACCTATAAAGGTTTTCATTCATAAAACGATTTACACAAATACATGTTAAGATTATGGATTATGAACGTTATACAAATTTTGAATGATGTCTTAATACGAGATGTAAAAACAGTAAAATTAATAACTAAATATTTTGCTGCGCCAGTGTAATTTTGGGAAAGCTTCTTTAAAATATTTCATGAGTTGTTTGAACCTGCGTCCCGTGTCGCATGCCGCATTATCAAAGAGAGCAATAATATTTAATTATTGTTCTTTTGCTGTATGTGTTTTAAATCTACTATTCTTACTGGTGAATGTCTGCAGGCTCAGCCTCCCTCTCCGCCCGTGGTAAATTGAATCCCTCAGTACGTCACGTTTGAGCAAAAAGTACACAGTGCTTTGGTTCTGACTCTCTTAGGCCGTGTTACTAAAGATTACGTCATCTCCATGTGGCATTGAAAAAAGCCTGAGTTCTAGCATTCTTAGCTCACGATAAAATGTAATGAATCAGTGGTTGTTAGTTAAGCCTGTAACATTGCATTACAATTTTGTCAAGTTAAAGCGAACTGAATCTTTGAGTCTTTGCCTATTATGAAGGATGTAAAGGGTTGATAAAGGAAATAAATTGTTTTTTAATTTTTTGATTTTGTAAGTAATACGTAGTTAACTGAATGTGATGAATGTTAGCTATATAGTTTCGAGTTAGCTTAAGTCCACGAGTCGATGAAGCCCCCAAACATCAAAGACGCTGCGCTTGAAAGAATTAATGAAGACGCTAAACAACAGACGAAATTGCGATGGCATACATGGATGATGCACACAAAGAAGTAAAAAGGAAGCTATGCAGAATTAACGAATCACCCAATACAATACAGTAAAAAAAACGAAAGAAAACTAGAACGGGAATCATTTAATACTGATTTACAAGAAGAGAACATAAAAAAGGAATTATTCTTGTGGAGGAGGAACCTCTCTAATAACAATACGAAAAACTGAATTCCATCCACTGTATGCATCTGCGTTACCAAAACCTGCACAATTGCCGACCCGGAATCCAACTTGCACTTTTCCTCTATGAATTTTGTTACAATATCCTTCAATGTGACGATATTGAAGGATATTTTGTGACTTTCCATTGGCCATGTAAAGAACTCCATCAATAGGAAGAGGGTTTTTACATTCAACTCCGTTGAAAGTAAAATACCAACGTTTGCAACAAGCATTGCACCCATGAATTTGCAAGTTTCCTCCATAAAACACTTGAAGGGAAGTGTTTTCAAACTTTTTTATGAATACACAATTCTAAAATGAAACTAAATCATTGCTAAAACAATATGTAATAATTCATAACAAAAGAAATATTTCATATACTTGTTGCACCTGAATTAATCCATGATCTTTGAGATCATTTCTTTTCCAAGCACATTGTTTCCAGCTTGAAAAGCTCATGTCATTTTTCAACGGAGGACCAGGATTACCTCGTTCACCTTTTTCTCCTTTAGATCCTACGTCTCCTTTTAAACCGTCTCGTCCGGCTGCTCCAGGTACACCAGGAACTCCTCGAGCCCCAGGAATTCCACAGCTTGCTGAACATTGAGCCTTTAAAACGGTAGAGAAAAATGTTTTTACCTAAACAGTGAAGGCTCTCTAAATATTTAATTTTGACTCAAATTAAATATAGTTGAAGGAATAATAACAGCTTCTTTCTATTGCATGGAAGTCTCTCCTATCCTAATGTCTTTCTCAACGGATAATATGATCTTGTTTTTGTAAATTTCTTTGAGATGCTCCGAGTTAAACAACGCCATTTTTCAACCATAATTCACAGGAATCTATTTGCTGGGTGCTTATACAAAAGAGACAGATCTGACTGTCTTATTGTTGTACATTGTGTTAAAATGCTTGTAGAATTTGAACAAGCATCACACGGTCATTGGTTTTCATTGGCTCATTTTGTTTGGCAATCAACTTTGTCTTAAAAATTAATTTTCCACCTGATAAATCTGTCATTCCAATATTAAATACCGAATATATATTTATTAACCTTTTCTTATGTCTGGATTAATTAGCTTCACAACCAGCCATATCTTAAAGATTTGTCATTGCGGAAGGCAAAAGGAGGTAGCTCAAATCGGAAAAGTCACCTAAAAAAGCTGTAAATCAGGTTTGTAATTGATATTGACTTAACTGCACATAGCATAATGTTACCTAACATCTTGAGTGATGGCATCATGTACATGGGAATATGAATCTGTGAATATAATGGAGTTTACATTATAAATAACACCTAATTATGTATCATGAGTTGATGCATGCAATGTCAAACATATTCAAACTTTCAAGTTTGTGGCTTGTATGAAACCTTTCAATTGCTTTTAATAGTATACATTGGTATGCAGTTGAATTTTCCTCCAATGTCTTGTAGAGAGATAAACCAATATAATGTTTACTTTCTGGCTTGTATATTGTAAATAAACTGAAGAATAAGTCTTTTGTTTATCGTGTTTTGTAGGGAGAAGTGCGAGCCTATGACTGTCACCAAAGAAGAGAAGAAAAGTATAAGTGAATTGAAGAAGCTAGAAAGTTGGAGGTTTATCCCTCGTGATTTGATTTATATTCATTTTGTTATTGTCTTAAGACCAGAGAAATGCTACATTGCATTTGTAATGAGAAATGAAACTTGCAGTGATTAAAAAATACGTTGTCTATATTAAACTTAAAGTCAATGATTATTTCAATATATGTAGCTGTCTTATTTCACTCCACAGCAAAGAGAACAAGAAGAAAAACGAGAAAGAAAGGCGAAGAGAAAAGAAGACAAACTAAACAGAGGGAAGAAGAGAAAAAGATACTGGAGGTAAAGTATTTTCATCCATGAATTGCTGGTCAAAAATAAGAAGTTATGAAAATTGCTTTAAAACGTAGATGTGCTATTTTACGCGTTTGATGTTTTCATGATGTTAAATAAGTCGAATTGTTTAATGAATAGCTATGGTTTGTGCCAAAGCAGTCTTTTTTTATTTACTCAAGGAATATTTTGGTACTGTTAAGGTTATAATTACTTAAAATATGTTTTTTAAAGTGTCAACATGTTTCTGCAGGAGGAAACACGTCGGCGTAAGATTAAAGAAGACAAGAATGAGAAGGTAAGATTATCTGTAAATCGAAAATATTAATGATTGAACTGCTTGATTTAGAATATTGGTATGTCTAAAATCACTTGTAGATAAAATATATACAAACATAAAAGTTGCTGTTACAAACTTAGTAAGAAAATAATAAACGCATTCGTCACGTGATCGCTTACATTAGACATTTAATCATAAATCATATTTTTTGTTAGACGAAGTTTAAGAAAACGCACGTTCCTCAGAAAGGCTGGACAATCGCAACCAATTCAAGAGTATCAAACACCCGTAAATGTAATCCTGTTTTAGTCAACGATTCTGTAGTTACTCCATTGAATATTATAATCCGCGGGAGACGCTTTATACCGTGAGAAAGCGTCAGTAAGCCCAGATTCATGTGAAAGTAAAGCACCTAGTCCTCCACCTTCAGTATGGAAAGTACCTGAATACGTACCCCCAAGATGGAATCCTGAGAAACAAAATGATCATAAAAATATCAAGGTGCCATTTCGTTTAAACAATGATGTCATATTGGAACGGAGAAAAGACCAACCACGCCCTTCAATCAATTATATAATCCTGTCATGTTAACTCCAAGTAAATTAAAGAATGAATTTATGAATCAACATATAAACAAAAGTTCCTTAAAAGATTCCGATCCTAATCTCCTAATTGATACCCCTGTAAAGTTCTCAGGAAAATGGATAATCGTGATCAAGCTGCTGCATCAAGTCCATATTCAAATATTTCTGGTTTGCCAAGTTTTTTAAATCTCCTACGGAAGGAAATGGTCGAGATTCTCCTCAGAAAACCTACTTTGTTTGGACCAGAGGAACCGAATCGTGTTCTTTTCAGCCTATTTTTCAAAACAATATTCATGTTTCATAATGATGAAAATGAATACTACAGTATCTATCTTTACTTATGAATGAAGTAGCTATATGAGCAATAAATTTCTTAATGAACATCAATTTAATTGAATGTTTTTATTTTCAGTAAGTAAATAAACAAAGAAAAACACATGGTTGAATTATTTTGCAATCTCCATTTGTCAGGCAGGGGAATGCGAAAGAATGAAGAAAATAGAGGCTTATTCATGTTGACAAACTCGGTGAAAGTTTGGAGTTATAGAAATCAGAACGCAAATCAGACATACAGTTTGAGTGGCATAAAATTACAAAAATGTAAAAAAATTCTCCAAGCTCGTAAAAGCCGTGTGAGATCACTGCAATTGACCTGATTTCGAGATCACTTACAAACCGTACGAACAATTAAGCTTTTTTTATATCATTGTGCTTTTTGTGTGTAGTTTTGCCTTATTTCTGTGTACAACTATAGTTTGTTCAATATGTCACGCGGGAAATTTTACGCAATTACACAACAATATCACCTAACACAGGTGTTAACAACCATTTTTAAGAACTGATTGTACATTGTTTTAGTGAAACGTTTATATACACTGAAACTTACAGATATGTCATTGGTCATTTAAGTTTCTTCAACTATTCAAAACAGCGAAACAAACCAGTAGAAATAATATTCTTTCAAAAAAACTTCCAAGTTTATCATGCAGAATGCGCAGAAAATTAGCAAAGAAGAATTCAATTTGCAGCGTTTCTAACATGACTTGGCGTTTCTCAATCAAAAGAACTGAGAAAAAATATAGGATGCAATACTGATGTAAAGTTGCAGTGGAATTCAATTGCCTGAAATGCCGAGTCTGTCAAACTCAATATCAGTTTTTTGACTAAGGCTCAGATGGTTGACCTGAGTACTAAGCATATTGTGAATAATTTGAAATGACTTCCAAAATGAGTCAACATATATTGTATGGAAGTCATAGTAAGAAACAACACTTTGTAAATGAATGACAGCAAATACCAAACCATATGAACTATTCCTATTTTTCTCTTAAAGGAAGTCCACTTTTTTGGTAGTTTAGCGATTATAGATTGCAATATACGTATACGATTGTAAAATGTATGTTAGACATACTAGATGTACAATACAGTAAAAAAACACGAAAGAAAACTAGAACGGGAATCATTTAATACTGACTTTACAAGATGAGAACATACAAAAGGAATTAATCTTGTGGAGGAGGAACCTCTTTAATAACAATACGAGAAACTGAATTCCATCCACTGTATGCATTTGCGTTACCAAAACTTGCACAATTGCCAACCCAGAATCCAACTTGCACTTTTCCTCTATGAATTTTGTTACAATATCCTTCAATGTGACGATGTCGATGGATATTTTGTGACTTTCCTTTCTCCATGTAAAGAACTCCATCAATAGGAAGAGGGTTTTTACATTCAACTCCATTGAAAGTAAAATACCAACGTTTGCAAACAATGATTGCAATTATGAATTCGCAGTTTCCTCCATAAAACACTTGAAGGAAGTGTTGTCAAACTTTTGTGAATAAACAATTCTAAAATGAAATTAAATCGTTGCTAAAACGATATAATAATTCATAACAAAAGAAATATTTCATATACTTGTTGCACCTGAATTAATCCATGATCTTTACCGTCGTTTTTTTCCAAGCACATTGTTTCCAGCTTGAAAAGCTCATGTCATTTTCAACGGAGGACCAGGATTACTCTGTTCACCTTTTTCTCCTTTAGATCCTACGTCTCCTTTTAAACTGTCTCGTCCGGCTGCTCCAGGTACACCAGGAACTCCTCGAGCCCCAGGAATTCCACAGCTTGCTGAACATTGAGCCTTTAAAACGGTAGAGAAAATGTTTTACCTAAACAGTGAAGGCTCTCTAAATATTTAATTTTGACTCAAATTAAATATAGTTGAAGGAATAATAACAGCTTCTTTCTATTGCATGGAAGTCTCTCCTATCCTAATGTCTTTCTCAACGGATAATATGATCTTGTTTTTGTAAATTTCTTTGAGATGCTCCGAGTTAAACAACGCCATTTTTCAACCATAATTCACAGGAATCTATTTGCTGGGTGCTTATACAAAAGAGACAGATCTGACTGTCTTATTGTTGTACATTGTGTTAAAATGCTTGTAGAATTTGAACAAGCATCACACGGTCATTGGTTTTCATTGGCTCATTTTGTTTGGCAATCAACTTTGTCTTAAAAATTAATTTTCCACCTGATAAATCTGTCATTCCAATATTAAATACCGAATATATATTTATTAACCTTTCATGTCTGGATTAATTAGCTTCACAACCAGCCATATCTTAAAGATTTGTCATTGCGGAAAAAGGAGGTAGCTCAAATCGGAAAAGTCACCTAAAAAAGCTGTAAATCAGGTTTGTAATTGATATTGACTTAACTGCACATAGCATAATGTTACCTAACATCTTGAGTGATGGCATCATGTACATGGGAATATGAATCTGTGAATATAATGGAGTTTACATTATAAATAACACCTAATTATGTATCATGAGTTGATGCATGCAATGTCAAACATATTCAAACTTTCAAGTTTGTGGCTTGTATGAAACCTTTCAATTGCTTTTAATAGTATACATTGGTATGCAGTTGAATTTTCCTCCAATGTCTTGTAGAGAGATAAACCAATATAATGTTTACTTTCTGGCTTGTATATTGTAAATAAACTGAAGAATAAGTCTTTTGTTTATCGTGTTTTGTAGGGAGAAGTGCGAGCCTATGACTGTCACCAAAGAAGAGAAGAAAAGTATAAGTGAATTGAAGAAGCTAGAAAGTTGGAGGTTTATCCCTCGTGATTTGATTTATATTCATTTTGTTATTGTCTTAAGACCAGAGAAATGCTACATTGCATTTGTAATGAGAAATGAAACTTGCAGTGATTAAAAAATACGTTGTCTATATTAAACTTAAAGTCAATGATTATTTCAATATATGTAGCTGTCTTATTTCACTCCACAGCAAAGAGAACAAGAAGAAAACGAGAAAGAAAGGCGAAGAGAAAAGAAGACAAACTAAACAGAGGGAAGAAGAGAAAAGATACTGGAGGTAAAGTATTTTCATCCATGAATTGCTGGTCAAAATAAGAAGTTATGAAAATTGCTTTAAAACGTAGATGTGCTATTTTACGCGTTTGATGTTTTCATGATGTTAAATAAGTCGAATTGTTTAATGAATAGCTATGGTTTGTGCCAAAGCAGTCTTTTTATTTACTCAAGGAATATTTTGGTACTGTTAGGTTATAATTACTTAAAATATGTTTTTTAGTGTCAACATGTTTCTGCAGGAGGAAACACGTCGGCGTAAGATTAAAGAAGACAAGAATGAGAAGGTAAGATTATCTGTAAATCGAAAATATTAATGATTGAACTGCTTGATTTAGAATATTGGTATGTCTAAAATCACTTGTAGATAAAATATATACAAACATAAAAGTTGCTGTTACAAACTTAGTAAGAAAATAATAAACGCATTCGTCACGTGATCGCTTACATTAGACATTTAATCATAAATCATATTTTGTTAGACGAAGTTTAAGAAAACGCACGTTCCTCAGAAAGGCTGGACAATCGCAACCAATTCAAGAGTATCAAACACCCGTAAATGTAATCCTGTTTTAGTCAACGATTCTGTAGTTACTCCATTGAATATTATAACCGCGGGAGACGCTTTATACCGTGAGAAAGCGTCAGTAAGCCCAGATTCATGTGAAAGTAAAGCACCTAGTCCTCCACCTTCAGTATGGAAAGTACCTGAATACGTACCCCCAAGATGGAATCCTGAGAAACAAAATGATCATAAAAATATCAAGGTGCCATTTCGTTTAAACAATGATGTCATATTGGAACGGAGAAAAAGACCAACCACGCCCTTCAATCAATTATATAATCCTGTCATGTTAACTCCAAGTAAATTAAAGAATGAATTTATGAATCAACATATAAACAAAAGTTCCTTAAAAGATTCCGATCCTAATCTCCTAATTGATACCCCTGTAAAGTTCTCAGGAAAAATGGATAATCGTGATCAAGCTGCTGCATCAAGTCCATATTCAAATATTTCTGGTTTGCCAAGTTTTTTTAAATCTCCTACGGAAGGAAATGGTCGAGATTCTCCTCAGAAAACCTACTCTTTGTTTGGACCAGAGGAACCGAATCGTGTTCTTTTTCAGCCTATTTTTCAAAACAATATTCATGTTTCATAATGATGAAAATGAATACTACAGTATCTATCTTTACTTATGAATGAAGTAGCTATATGAGCAATAAATTTCTTAATGAACATCAATTTAATTGAATGTTTTTATTTTCAGTAAGTAAATAAACAAAGAAAAACACATGGTTGAATTATTTTGCAATCTCCATTTGTCAGGCAGGGGAATGCGAAAGAATGAAGAAAATAGAGGCTTATTCATGTTGACAAACTCGGTGAAAGTTTGGAGTTATAGAAATCAGAACGCAAATCAGACATACAGTTTGAGTGGCATAAAATTACAAAAATGTAAAAAAATTCTCCAAGCTCGTAAAGCCGTGTGAGATCACTGCAATTGACCTGATTTCGAGATCACTTACAAACCGTATGAACAATTAAGCTTTTTATATCATTGTGCTTTTGTGTGTAGTTTTGCCTTATTTCTGTGTACAACTATAGTTTGTTCAATATGTCACGCGGGAAATTTTACGCAATTACACAACAATATCACCTAACACAGGTGTTAACAACCATTTTTAAGAACTGATTGTACATTGTTTTAGTGAAACGTTTATATACACTGAAACTTACAGATATGTCATTGGTCATTTAAGTTTCTTCAACTATTCAAAACAGCGAAACAAACCAGTAGAAATAATATTCTTTCAAAAAACTTCCAAGTTTATCATGCAGAATGCGCAGAAAATTAGCAAAGAAGAATTCAATTTGCAGCGTTTCTAACATGACTTGGCGTTTCTCAATCAAAAGAACTGAGAAAAAATATAGGATGCAATACTGATGTAAAGTTGCAGTGGAATTCAATTGCCTGAAATGCCGAGTCTGTCAAACTCAATATCAGTTTTTGACTAAGGCTCAGATGGTTGACCTGAGTACTAAGCATATTGTGAATAATTTGAAATGACTTCCAAAATGAGTCAACATATATTGTATGGAAGTCATAGTAAAGAAACAACACTTTGTAAATGAATGACAGCAAATACCAAACCATATGAACTATTCCTATTTTTCTCTTAAAGGAAGTCCACTTTTTTGGTAGTTTAGCGATTATAGATTGCAATATACGTATACGATTGTAAAATGTATGTTAGACATACTAGATGTACAATACAGTAAAAAAACACGAAAGAAAACTAGAACGGGAATCATTTAATACTGACTTTACAAGATGAGAACATACAAAAGGAATTAATCTTGTGGAGGAGGAACCTCTTTAATAACAATACGAGAAACTGAATTCCATCCACTGTATGCATTTGCGTTACCAAAACTTGCACAATTGCCAACCCAGAATCCAACTTGCACTTTTCCTCTATGAATTTTGTTACAATATCCTTCAATGTGACGATGTCGATGGATATTTTGTGACTTTCCTTTCTCCATGTAAAGAACTCCATCAATAGGAAGAGGGTTTTTACATTCAACTCCATTGAAAGTAAAATACCAACGTTTGCAACAATGATTGCAATTATGAATTCGCAAGTTTCCTCCATAAAACACTTGAAGGGAAGTGTTGTCAAACTTTTTTGTGAATAAACAATTCTAAAATGAAATTAAATCGTTGCTAAAACGATATGTAATAATTCATAACAAAAGAAATATTTCATATACTTGTTGCACCTGAATTAATCCATGATCTTTACCGTCGTTTCTTTTCCAAGCACATTGTTTCCAGCTTGAAAAGCTCATGTCATTTTTCAACGGAGGACCAGGATTACCTCGTTCACCTTTTTCTCCTTTAGATCCTACGTTTCCTTTTAAACCGTCTCGTCCGGCTGCTCCAGGTACACCGGGAACTCCTGGAACCCCGGGAATTCCACAGCTTGCTGAACATTGAGCCTTGAAAACGGTAGAGAAAAATGTTTTTACCTAAACAGTGAAGGTTCTATAAATATTGACTTGTGGCTCAAATTCAATATGGTTGAAGGAATAATAACAGCTTCTTTCTATTACGTTGAAGTCTCTCCGATCCTAATGTATTCCTCAACGGATAATATGATCTTGTTTTTGTAAATTTCTTTGAGATGCTCCGAGTTGAACAACGCCCTTTTCAACCTTATTTCACAGGAATCTATTTGCTGGGTACTTATACAAAAGAGTTTGCAAATTGTAATTTCAATACTCATGAAGTATAAATAAACTACACGAATAAAGTTTCTCGCAACCTTAAAAAAGACTATTGCGTTAAAATATGCACTTGATTCTTGAACCGAAATTTTAACTTAAACCATTTCACAAAGTTAATGCTTCCAAACCTTTGAGTTTTTTTTCTTAAACGATGCACTGACTGTATTTGATAGCAGCAACACGGATACCATGATAAGATTCATCTTCACTTTTATCATTTTCCCACCTCAGTTTGCTTCTTTAAATGCTCATTAATTAAAGGTTTTGCTTGTAATGAAGAGCTAACTTTAGTCCTCTGTTTTAAGTATTTGGAATAAAACGGATTCATTTCCGTTTCAGCAACATTGTTTTTTGATAATGGAGAAATGAGTAGAGTAGCCACGTAATCTCCAAGCAAATTCATGATTATGATGGTAATGTAGAATTGTTTGCTTAAAATTTGCAGTTGAATATGAATACATTATGAATATTTAAGAAACCACAAAAAATCACTCTGAGCATAAAATCCTCTTTTTTGGATGTTTATTAAACCAAACATTTCTTCTAATCATACTGACTCACATCTACAACCGTTAACGAGTACATAAAAACAAGAGAAATAGAAATTGTAAAATTATTTTTCTTTGTTTTGTTTTAATTGCATCATTGATTATTTTGAAAAGAAGTTCCATGCAAGTTATAGCGTCATTTTTATTAAGGATAAATATCTTGCATTTTTACAATTTTCTGTAGCACCAGCGATTCTCAAATCAAAAGCCCCAACAGGTTGCTGAGTATTGGCTCTTAAACACGAAATATGAAGCATTTTAACTAGACATATGTTTGACCATGAAAGTATTTAAATGCACGATCTTCAATCAAAAACTTTATTTTTGATGTAAATGACACTCTCCTTTACATGATCTAGATAATGCAGTCTAAATATCAGGTGCATTTCAGAATAATAACTAGCACCACTCAACCACATATAATCCAGTTTTTCTAACACAGAAGTAAAGGAACAACACTAAAGTAAATTTTTATCATTGCTACTGCACGTTCTTAATCTATTGACAGTAAGTTTATTTTTACTTTGCAATCCGTGTGATTTAAATGCACGCGTGACACTTAAAAAAGACAATTGTGATTGCTTTAGGACATCGTGCAGATCACGCGTGTTTTTTGCTAATTAGCGAAATGATTGGTTTAGGTTTCGGTGGAACTATAATATGTTGAACTGTCATTAATAGAGTTCACTCATTAAAGTCTAGAGAAGTAAGTACGCAGCATAACATTTCAGTCTCTTCACTTTATTTTTGTCTGACGTGATAGTTGTATTTTTCGTAATGCTACTGATTTATAAGCCAATATAGCTTTCAGGTTTGGAATTGTTTAGGAAGTTGAACGGTAGATTGTCGAAGTTCATTTAACAGGGAGGAATGATTAATTTTAAATCCTGCTAGAAGCAGCTGCTATGAAATGAAAATGTTGCATTTTCGACTGACAAGTAATTGATCATTTTGTAAATATCTTAAGTTCTTTGTTATTTATTAACTCAAATTTTTTTTCATTGTTTATAAGCTATTCTGCAAGCGTAACTGCTTTAATTGATGGTCTATAAAACCTTGGATATCTCTATGAAGCCAAGTTGACAACTGCGAAAACAGTAAAAACAGCCTCGATAAAAATTTGATAAAACATGTTTTGTATGGCATTGATTCGTGATTGATGGTGAACAGCGCGGATTCTTTATAAGTATGCAAGCATAAACGTCTATATATAAAGTTATTTGACGTTCTTGTGCGCATTATGTACACATCACCGACTCGACTTTGTTTCATTGCTGTAAAAGTGCCATGATCTGATATATAAACCTTCACAGTGTTATCTTTTGGGTTTTCATCTTTTGCTATCAAGAACACTTTGTCCCTATAATCATGCACGTACTATGAGACAAGATTTCTTTATAGTTTAAATAATATGATTAATACTGTTACAATAAAGCAATGAGAAGATTTAGGCAGAAATATAGATATTAGGCTGAAATATTTTCCTTATTTAGCCAAGTTTGGCGTCATTCAATATAGAAAGTATAGGTTTTACTTGGCTACATACAATAAAAACAAACTTCACTTCATACAATAAAACAAACTTCACTTCCCCTTCAGCAAAAATATTTTAATCGCAGTTGTACTTCAAATCAAAATAAAGTTAGGCCACGTAATAATAAATCTTTGTTCTTATATCTAATAACGTGTCGTCTGATATAAATAGTCAAAATAAATGTCTACTTTGCATAACAGGAGTGATTATTATCGCACTGTCAAATCTTTCTTTAGAAGATTCTATTTATTGTTATGCTAAGTCGAAAAAATGCTAAATTGATTTTCTATGTTGTCTACCACTGCAATGACGGCGTCAACATTAAGATTACTCCCTAAAAGTAGAAAGTGTTTGCAGTAAGAAACATGATTTTTTTTGAGTTGTACTTGAGTCATTTGTATGACTTGTATTTCTACCTCACAATTACAGTGTCACAAAAATCTCAAAAATATATCACAAATAGCCAGTCAATTATGGAAGTCACAAGTTGCGATTTTATGACTTACTTATTTGTAAGTTAAACGACTGCTCTGATTTTTGCTAATTCTGCTATTTTCACCAACACAATAACACCATCTCCGCACTACAATATGCTTAAACTTTAATGGCTGTAATTTTCATTTAAAGCTACTACCAAGAGTACCTGTAGTACACTGATAAATGTTTGGAAGACGAGTGTCTAGACTGATGCCACAAATGTTAAGAAATTGATCAAATTTTCCAACGACAAATTAATATCAATTACTAAAATAGGCCGTATTCTATAGTGGATTATTGTTCAGGTTGAGATGCAGAAATTCATGACTAAGTAAAAACAACATAGATGTACTGATATGTACTCACTTAATATAAATCTGCCTGTTTACATCCCGAAAACTTGCAATCAAGAGAGCTAGAGCCATCAAAAATTCGACATTTATTTTCTATATCCGCCTTATTGTTTTGTGTGAAATTCGCTAAATTTGCTGGCTCATATTCAAAAGAACGGTGCTAAATAATGATTAAGGATCAATTTTTCTAAGTTAATTTGAAATGATATGTTTAGCTATAAATCTTCCATAGCAATTTCTATGGTACTTTAACTCTCCACGGTACTCAGCCAAAGGACTTTTCATGGACTGAATTTTTTTCATCAAATTTTTGTTCTTTTCAGCGATGTCTCTCTGCTCACCATTGTATAGTAACCAAGGCTCGTGACAATGTAAAACTTTTTTCAAAGATGTCTCGGTAAAATCAGTCAATGGCCCATTTTCACCTTTAAAATGGATTACACATCCCTGCAAGCTCGCCTTTTTGTTGTTTTGATCATTGTGCAAGTTACGTGCGTGGTCCCGAAAGAATAACTATTAATTTTGGTTCTATTTCCACACGCAACAAAGATAGTGTGAACCAGTTATATTTATCAAACAATTTATTAATCAACGCGTAAATATTAAAGTGGATAAGTGTCTTAATAATAATATCAATAAGTATGAGTAAAACTTATCTCCTCTGTCTGAGTACAACCGTAAGTCTTTATTCTTGAGCGTTCGTGAGTCCAACAATGACTCACAATAGTTTTCCAAATTGATTAAAGGCACAAAAGCCAAAAGATAGTTATGGCACAAAAGCCAAGATAGTTGTCTGGTAGATTATAGCTTGTCAACCTACTTCGGTAGGCTATGCCTCCTAAGTTTATCTCCTCGTAGCTTGTGCTCGTAGGTTGTCCTCGTAGGTTGTACTCAGTGGTGTAAACTACTCATATATATATATCTAATGGGAAGTATTGTGGTTTTGTGACCTACATCCCATACGCAATACAGTATGTTACAGCAAGATATAGTTAACCACAATAACAACAATGCGGTTGGGGTTCTAAAATATGTTTACGCATGTAAGCAAGCTTCTAGCGCATGCAAGCAAGCATGCAAGCAAGCTTCTAGATAATGTCCTAATTAGTAATGACATTGCAAAATGGATTTTAAAGTTAAAATATAAAAATATGGAATGCTTAGTAATATAATATAATATAACATAATAATAGGTCATAAATGCTATTACATGATAGCAACTACTATCATGTACAGTGCACCCGCAATTTTTGCTATATTATCAGCAGTTTCACAAATAAAACAAGATGGCGACAGGTAAAACTTTAAACGAATATTATGAAACTTTGGAGTACTGAAACACCAAAGATTGCAATTTCAAGAGATGCAAACAACTTAAATCATATTCAGTCAGTAAAAATAAGTAGTTTTCTGTGATTTTTATGTAGTCATGAATTTCGGCATTTAGAAATCATTTTTTAGCACATTTTCTTGATACAGAATACGGCCTAAAATTTGAATAAAATTTGTGTGTAAAAGAAATAGCAATGATATTCAAGCTGAAAATATCAAACTAGGAAAAAATACCAATACTGAGCGTTGTAGGGATGATTTCGCTACATATATGAATACGGAACATAAACTCTAAATGATTGAAATGAATTTCGCGTTTTTTAGTGCATGTATTTTACGTTTGTGAGCAAGAGGTCAGTACGTCACGTTTGAGTGAAAAGTACACAGTGCTTTGGTTCTGACTCTCTTAGGCAGGGTTACTAAAGATTACGTCATCTCCATGTGGCATTGAAAAAAGCCTGAGTTCTAGTAATCTTAGCTCACGATAATATGTAATGAATGAGTGGTTGTTAGTTGAGCCTGTAACAATGCATTACAATTTTGTCAAGTTAAAACGAACTGACTTTAGAGTCTTTGTTTATTGTGAAGGATGTAAAGGGTTGATAAAGGAATTAAATTGTTTTTTATTTATTTTGATTTTGTAAGTAATACGAAGTTAACTGAAATGTGATGAATGTTTGCTATATAGTTTCGAAGTCCGTGAATCGATTACATAGGAGATGTGGGACAAGTGGGACTATCTCTCAAAAGTTCATTCAACTTTGAGTTTGCTTTTGAAATTCGTATCAGAGTAATCATGTAGACGCATTTACATGAATTTTTGAAAATTTTTGGCCAGAAGAATCATCACAAAGGTAAGAAATAGGAATAATCCATTTTATTTCAGATATATTTGTAAAACTTGTGGTTTATTGTAACATTTTCATCAACAGTTTCAAACTATTCATTGCATGTGTGAGATTCAATTAGTGGCAAGCACAATTGTACCGAATCAATTAAATCTTCCAGTTCATTTTACCTTAAATTAAAGTATTTATCATTCACAAATTACTATATTTTGAAGCACTCATTTTAATTGCACAACTTGTATTGATACCATAACAATGATTTTGTTGCATGTCATATAATATTGATAATAATTTTATCTGCATCTAAAATGTGTTGACAAGGTTATGGCAAAGTCAACATTTAGGCAACTTGCATGAAAAAATTGACCACATTGATCACAATGCAGCCAGTCTTCATTGTCATATATTCATAATGAATTCCATATAAAAATATTGAACTAAATGTTATTTATGCCTTAACATGTAATATCATCATAGCAAGACCCAAGTAATGTTGAAAGGATCTGTTTTCTCTCAGTCTCCATGTTTGCTGGTTTTTGATAGTCTAAGCCAAGGGCTAGACATCAAGCAAACTAATGCGAAATGAGCAGTTACTGAATAATAATGTTTGTAAAATGGCTATTCAAGTAAAGTTAGGCTATTTCAAGCTTACCAAGCATATGTACACTCCACAGTTATACATATCTTCCTGTTTACAATGGAGTGGCTCAAAACATTGCCATGAGTTTGAGTTCCAACCTATTTTTACATCTACCAAAGCACTAAAGCAGTGATTAACAATGACCACTTTGTTTGTTTATATGATACATCATCTGTGTATCAGGTGTCTTTTTGTCTGCACTTCCTCCAAGTTGGTCAAGTAGAGTCTTGTTTTTGAGAACTTATCTATAGCCTATATTACACAAAATTACTGTTGCATTTAGTTAAAAATTTTCTCTTTGTTAATTAAGAAATTAAATTAGTTAATGTTTCTATAGATACTAATTTTTGCATGTTAATATGTGGACTGATGTGGGCTAAGTATGTATATAATGCATGTCTATATTTTTTTATTGCCTTCATTGATTAGCTCAAATACTTACCAGTAGTGTCCATTGAATTTCATGGATGTTGATTGGAAAAAGGATAATTTTGGTTTGGTGAAAAGATCTATTAGCCCATGTGCGTCTTGTGCTTGAGTTGTTTTTAACAATCTCTCTGAAATAAATGATTCTGCTGCAAGAACAGTAGTTTAGTTTTCAGTCAAACTCCACAAAAAAGCGTCAATTACCTAAAATCAAAAGAAAGCATAGTTTTAAGAGATTTCCTCGCCAGTTTTACGTGTACATAGCACTCATGGTTATAAACAATGACTTATAATGATGAATAAGAAGACTATATTAGACGCTTTTTTTCTCTTACATAGTCAGTCAGCCAACCAGGTTTGAATGTGGTAACTTCTTTTTCAATAATTTTTAATTCTTTTTCAGTTATATCTTTTGAAATGACAAGTGACCAAAGATCTACTGTTGATGCATTCACAGGACCAAATTCCAGCACAGTATCGCCAAGACACTGTCTTTCTATAAAGGCATTTATTCCTTGCCTTGGAGTCAGAAACAATGAATTGTATGTCAACTGTTTGCAAGTATCAGTGTAGGTGCTATATTATTTAAAAACATAGTGCATCAAGATACATTCACAATTTCAGCTCGTTTTGCAATGAATCACTGACCTTTCTTGATGTTCCAAGTTGTTGATTGTCGGTGCTTCAGTGCTTTCTTGTGATGCCTGGATTTCCTCTGTTTCACTCTCATACAACAATTCTTGCTCAACTGGCTCTTCAAGTGCATTTTGGAACGTAAATTGTGAGTGAAAATTATAATTTGTAAAAAGAGCTCGTCAATCGAGGTTGCGAAAATGAAAATTATCTCACCTTGTTTGATGATACAGCGCGCTTTTAACTTATGTCTGGGATCATTGTTGTGATATAGTTATTAGCATGCTTCTTTTTGCAACGAAGAGGCAATTTTTTATGAAATACTTGATGATACTCCACACTTGTTACTTTCAAGCGCTTTTTTGTTGGACTATTTCCAATTGGGAAACCTTCAATGACTGGGCAATTTTGATTTAAGATTTCGTGCAGTTTATTTGCGTAGTCAAGCGCTTCTTTCAAAGGTTTTAGTTCGTTGACAGTGAATGCCTGATTTCGAACAAGGCTCAACTTGGAAACAAAGGGTTGAGTAACGTTCTTACTGACAAGCTCGTGAATTTTACTTATTACTCTATTACTAAAGGTAATTTCACGTAGCACTTTGATGAGGTGTTCATATTGTTTGGAGTCCTAGAAATGTCTGCTTATAGTTTATCTAAAACGGTTTTTTTCGCTTTTTTCAAGCTGTTCGCTGTTGGATAAAGAGTCTTGTCAAGATAGTAGTCCTTAAAAACTCTTATTTCACGAATCTGGATTGTTGCTGGGCAGCTAAATTTTGGACTGTTCTGCAAGTTTTAATATGTTTTGGTGCCGTAATTGTGCTCAGCAGATTTTTTTGTTTATTTGCTCCTCCTCGCGAGTCCTAAAAATGGTCATTTTGCTTCGCCTGTTGATTAAAAATGTGATAACTGTTTAATCTATCTCGTTGTAATACAGCGTTTGAAATCTGACCTTTTCTGATCCATGTATGCATTGCCTAGTTTCTGTGCTTTCTATTGTAAATGGAAAATCGCAATTGGTACATTGCCTTTATTATCTTCGAAAACAGGTGGAGCTATAAAAACACGTAGAGATGATGCTTAGGTCCGTTAGTACTTTTGTAATAATTAGCATAAATTAAAAATTTGTAATGTAAACTCCAATGAACACTTTTTTCCGTTACATATTGTATTTTTGCAGTGCCGTACTTTTTGATGCTATGCACTGTTTCCTTACCATTTATTGAAAAGCGTTTGTGGTCTTTGCGTTTGTTGTGCGTTTGTGAACAAACAAATGACGTCGACGATAACAAAGCGTAAGATTCTAAGATCCTCTCCAAACTTTCAGCACCTCCTTCATATTCTGCCAGCAAATAATTCTCTTGTTGTCCAACACTATTGAAATATGTCCTGATGAATTCAATTTCCTTGTTTCGCATATCTGTCGCAGTTACGTCAAGTGTTGAGTTCGTATCACTCGCCATTATTCCGCTTTTAACAGTAAGTTAAACAGGCGAAGACACTTGATGATCGAATAAATTGGAAATTCAGCGCTCTGACATACGTATACTATGTACATAACAATCCCTCTTCAATTTTCGGCCTGGTTTTCAAACCTTACTTGACATCAAATGTAAAATCTGCCAATTTGCACACGTTTGCCATTTTTAAGTTGTCGTCATTACACTAACACCCATAATTTTCAAACTGTAGTTGTCTCTTGAAGAAAACCTACAAGTTTAGCTTCCTTCTTGAGCGTTCACGAGTCACATTTTTAAATAAATGAACAGGCTCTTTAGTTTGACACGTTGCAGTCAAAAGAAAACCCGGTTTGAAATTATAACTAAAAGCGTGCAGTTTCATTGGTAGCTTAATTTTCATGCCTGGAATGACATACATACATACATACATGCACACATACATATATATATTTCCACATTTAAAAAAAGAGAAAAAAACCTTTTTCCTCGATTTGGATGTCGAAATTCGAGATACCTGTTGTACAGTAGGTATTGTGTAGTTTAGCGTTGATTCCGTTAATTACTTTTTCCATGTTACTGCCAAGTGAGAGTGAATATTGCAACCACGATGTGTTTTTTTGTGAATTATATTTTTACACTTATGATTCGAGGCATTTATGTTCTAGTTAACTAGGTGCAGTTATGCCACACGGATAACGTACCTGAAACTGTACTTAAACTTAAGTGCATTTGCGTAACTAATAAAGTCAAGTGCGTGGTTTTAATTACGCGTATGTTTAAAACTAAGATTGGCTATTTCCTTTGATTTTTTGTGGATAATTCTAGAAACAGTATTGTGCACTCTTTATGTACGTCAGTATACAATAGTATGTACGTGTATAACCGGACTAAGTGTAAATGACATACCTATAAAGGTTTTCATTCATAAAACGATTTACACAAATACATGTTAAGATTATGGATTATGAACGTTTTACAAATTTTGAATGATGTCTTAATACGAGATGTAGAAACAGTAAAATTAATAACTAAATATTTTGCTGCGCCAGTGTAATTTTGGCAAAGCTTCTTTAAAATATTTCATGAGTTGGTTTAACCTGCGTCCCGTGTCGCATGCCGCATTATCAAAGAGAACATTAATATTTAATTATTGTTCTTTTGCTGTATGTGTTTTAAATCTACTATTCTAACTGGTGAACGTCTACAGGCTCAGCCTCCCTCTCCGCCCGTGGTAAATTGAATCCCTCAGTACGTCACGTTTCAGCAAAAAGTACACCGTGCTTTTGCTCTGACTCTCTTAGGCCGTGTTACTAAAGATTACGTCATCTCCATGTAGCATTGAAAAAAGCCTGAGTTCTAGCATTCTTAGCTCACGATAAAATGTAATGAATGAGTGGTTGTTAGTTGAGCCTGTAACATTGCATTACAATTTTGTCAAGTTAAAACGAACTGAATTTGGGAGTCTTTGCCTATTGTGAAGGATGTAAAGGGTTGATAAAGGAAATAAATTGTTTTTTATTTTTTTTGATTTTGTAAGTAATACGTAGTTAACTGAATGTGATGAATGTTAGCTATATAGTTTCGAGTTAGCTTAAGTCCACGAGTCGATGAAGACCCCAAACATCAAAGACGCTTGCAAGAATTAATGAAGACGCTAAACAACAGATGAAATTGCGATGGCATACATGTATGATGCACACAAAGAAGTAAAAAAGAAGTTATGCAGAGTCAACGAATCACCCAAACAAGAAAACATGTTGCGCACGTAGCAACAGCCAGCAAACAATGTAGAATCAAGACCATCAAATGGATTTGTTTTTACATAGATCAAACCACAAAAGACGTTACGTTGTGTAGAAAAGTTATTAAGCAACTCTAAGTCGCCATAGAAAATAAAATTTTTGAAAGCATTGAGACACACCAAATCTTAAAACACTCTCTTTCTTTGCTTCCTTCTGTCTATGCTTCATTTATTGTCTTGTGCTCTTGAATTATTTTCATGATGTCAGCTTGCAAACTTTGGTCTGATCACGTGATCGCCTCAAATTAAACTTTTTCTTGAGTTTTGAGATGTTTTTATCTCACATATATGGATTATTACAATATTTTTTCCTTACGGATTTATATGTTGCTATGCAATAATTCTAGCAAGCTCCTAGCTGCAAATTTGTGGAGAATTACAAGTACAACATGTTCATAACATTAGTAACATTAGTTTTACCTTGATCATACCTGCATTCTGTTTTATTGCTCATTTACTTGCAGTAAAAAATGTAAGTGTGCAATTGATGTTGCTTTTGAAAAGAGTTTAAGTTAAGCAATAATGTTTGAATGTGTGCACAAGTTAATGACAAGAAATTCTCTCAGTTTTATTGTCTCTTTCGTGCAACTGATGTTCCTATCAATGCAAATTTAATGTGATAAGTATGGTATTTTTGCTTCCTGTTTTACGTTGGATTATGAAAATTTTTGTTTAAATTACTTTTTTTAACAACATGGAACAAAACACCATTTTAAACTGCAAACCGAGGCAAGCTTAAACAGATTTTATTCGGAGTCTCCTACCTTTCCAATTGTATTTGAAATATTTTATTTCCGTTCTTTCCATGTGTAGATACGAGGTTTGTTTGACATTTCCAAACGACGGTATTAACTTGATACCATCACTTTACAATTTCTCATTAAGAGAAGTCAACAAAAATCGTTTCCTTTCTCCAAAAACAAAAATTTTATTAAATATTGCAGAATTAAGTAAAAATTTGCAACACGGATCGAACTGACAAAATCATCAGAAATCAATCGTTAATAAGAGCACTGAGATCTTTTATTGGTTCTAAATTAAGCATTATACAACATCATCAACATATCTCACTATTTCCAAAGTATTTTTGTAATAGTTACAATATATAATTTTTTCTGCAGAACGATTTCTTTGTGTTGAAAAGAATGCTAGCCTCATTTTGGTTCGCTCTTCATGACAGTCAGAGTCAAATGACGTCACAATTATTAGACTAAATAATAAAATATTTCCTTGAAAACTGATTTAAATCCTCAAAAAATTAAAAAGAAGTACATAGCTAGCTATATATATATAAAGTCGAATAAACAATAATTTAACAAGGAAATATTGTTGGAAAATTTTTACTTTAGACATAAGAATTTTTAGTCACAGGTATATTTTTTTCTCTAGCAATTAAATTTTTTCATCACAGGTAAGTTTTTCGACGCTTGCTGAGCTGAAATTTTTTGAGGCAACGTAGCCAACGTTTCTTCATCGACAAAAATGACTTTTCGACAAGGAAACATTGTCAAATCGTCAAAATGCATGTCAATGTATGAAACTAATTATAATAACATTAACTTTAAATAACATTAACATTAACTAATTAAAATTAACTTCTCAAAATAACCAGGAATATGTTGCCTCCGCATGGAATTCTTTCTTGGCTCAAATTTTTAACCAAGATGTTTGGTATTTTCGATACGTTCAGCTGGAAAAGTCGAATCTTACACCTTATGCCTATATAATTACCTATCAAAACATTGTCCTGTGCATGTAAAACTATTCATTATTGTCTGAAGATATCTTGAATAAACATAAAACGTCACATTAAATTATACTCTTACAGTTTTTCACTTTGTAATTTGTTTTGAGGGCTCTATCTAAAGTTTTTATCTTTTGTTATTACCATGAAAAAATATTTTAAAAAAGACAGAAACTTGGAATTTCAACTAGATATTTAAACCCCAACAACGTGATCACAATCACAATCGATGTGAGGAGCTACTCAAAACAAATAAATATTTGGTAAGTCGCTTTAAGAATAATTCATTTACTGTAATATGGAATGTAAAATTTTTAATTATTTGCGAGCGACGAGTAAATAGTTGACTAAATTAGCTCGGTAATGTTAGGTAACTAAATTACCTCATGTCTTGCAATACACATCTCTTATAATACACGAAACAGAAACTTTGATACAAAAAAGAGTCGAATAAAAACGTGAAAAGGGTAAAATTTGTCTTTTGGAGGAGGAACCTCTTTAATAACTATACAAGAAACTGTATTCCACCCAGTGTGTGCATTTGCGTAACCTAAAGATGGACAATTTCCAACCCAGAAACCAACTTGCACTTTTCCTTTATAGATTTTGTTACCATATCCTTCAATGTGATGATTTCACAGGATACTTTCTAAGCTTGTAGATTCCATGAGAAATATCCCATAAACAGGAAGAGGATATATGCATTCTACTCCATTGAAAGTAAAATACCAACGTTTGCAACAACCTGTGTATCCAGAGATTTGCAAGATTCCTCCATAAAAAACTTGAAGAGATGTGTTGTCAAATTTTTTCGTAAATACACAGTCCTTTCTCATTTTTATTTGTTTTTTAATTTCTCGTGTTTTTATCTCATAATGGCTGTACAGTGAACTAATATTATAATTAAATTTTTTCATTCAAGTCTATCGCTCATAGAATTTATTTCATTTTTATCAACTTTTCAAAAAGACTGAAATATCATATTATTAGCTAAGTTGATGAAGAAATGCTATATTTCTTCTCGTAAGGTGTATGATTTGATAGTTTATTTAAGAAATAAAAGTGTTTACTGTGTTTACACAGGCTTATGGAAACCGAGGAGACCTTTGGGAGAACTCGAGAGCAGATCAATGCAAAATGGAGACCGAAGGTCAAGGGTTGCACCTGCAAACATCTTTTATTTCTTTTATTAAATAAAACAATGAGAAACAGACAAATATTTTAACTTTTCCTCCAAAAATATATTGATGATCGATTTTCGAATTCTCATTGACCGACTGATTGTTAAGATTGATTTAATTGGTTGAGCTTAGATGTGCTTTGTACAGGTAAATGGAAACACAGCTCTATACCAATCAGCACACGCGTTTCATTGTGTTTATTTTATAAATGTATATAGATGTATGTTGTAAAATAAAAGTTTCTCCGGATTTTAAAAAATGATTTTTATTGAGCTTTCGACTCAGTGCTTCGAGCCTTCTTCAGAATCAAAACTTTTATTTTAGAACATTAATGCCTGGATTATTAATTTTCTAGATTATAAATGTATGTGTATATGATTTGTAATGTATAATTCTAGTAATATATATGACAAGCTTCTTAAATTTGATAACTTCTTGTTCCTGAACAAGATCAGAGACCACAATTCGTTGTCAAATATTTTAGACATGCTGTAATCATGCTGTTACATAACAGTCAAAATGGTTGGGTGCTTCATCAGTCTTTGTTTCAAATGGAATCGTCTAAGATAGATTTGCTCTAAAATGTAAAATTTTACGAAAAAGCTTTCTTATTAAGTTTTGCTAAACTCTTCAAATCATTTAAGTACAATTCATTATTCAAATTTTATCCAAATCATAAAAGTAAA